TCTTTCTTCCTTTCTCTTTCTGAGGACCCGGATTGCTGTGGGGGCGATATGCTGACTCTGTAAACCGCTTAGAGAGGGCTGAAAGCCCTATGAAGCGGTATATAAGTCTAACTGCTATTGCTATTTCTCTCCCTCTTCTGAATCCATCCAGCAAATCTTGCCCAACTATACTCAAAGCTGCAGTTTTAGTCAGAATAAATTCTATATTTACATAAGAATAAAATTTACAAGAAGATTAAAGCCAAGGCCATTCTGTATGTATGCCAAGGCCACACGTACATGCAAATGTGGAAGGGGTTTGATCATCCTGCTGCAACCAACACTGTGTCTATTTTGACCTCCCTTGCACATACCACTGAGCTGGGATATTACTGAAAGAACAATATTTAAAAGAATTAAAGAAACAAAAGATGCCCAATCCTGAGAATCTCCAGCACTTAATATCTAAATTGCAATCATGTATTTGATTCTTGTCATTCATGTTTAGACTCAAAAGACATTACCATTGTCCAATTGGGAACTTTCAAATAAACTCCTCTTTCTGTATAACTGATATTCTTTTCAACTGATTTGGCCACTCCCGAAGCTATTTTCTTTTGGTGTTGAGTTCTGGATTCTTTAAACCTATTGAAATAAGATACAATAAGTAGAAAGTTTCTGTATAAGAAGATAAAAATGGGATAAATGTGGAGCTGGCTAAAATTCACATTGCAGACAGCAAAAATATACAAATGAATACAAAAAATTAAATATTTTAGTTACAAAATAACAAAAGATTTTCCTGTTTTTCTTAATCGAAACTGTGATTGCTCTTAAATAATTCTGAGCCAAATTTCTATTTAATTTAAATGCTCGTTCCCTTGTTGTCTATGCCGTTCTTCACACTGGAGACTTTAGTGTTTTAATATGTTTTTTTTAAATGACAATTCTTCATTATAAAGTTTATACCAGCCCTTTATTTAAACCACTTAGAGTCAACAAGAGTGAATTGGGCAGCCATATAAATTTGCTTAATAAAATAATAAGAACTTGAAGCTCTTTACTTTGCATAAATTGTCTCTTGTAGCCAAAATTGCTCTCTGTGGAATCATTGGCATCAATATTAGTTTAATGCAAATTTTAATGGAATTATGTATTTATGTTTATTAACGCATTACTGACATTTTTTGTATTACTAATATTATGAATAATTGTAAATCACCTAGTGATCATTTTGGGCTGAGGTGATGCATAAATTACATAAATAAAATAATATCTCAACAACATTTCTTTTCTGCTTTGCACTTCTAAGATCACTTTAAATTCAAGACAGAAAAATAGAATAATTTGAATTGAAAAAATGAAACAGGATTGGCATAAATATATCACATATTTCCAAAGAGCAACTGTATTGCAATAGTGATGTTTTGGAAGTAGTTCCAAAAATGTGCTATTGGTTTTTGCATAGCTATGAATATTTCCAGGGGTGGGATTCAAAAAATTTAACAACCAGTTCTCTGCCCTAATGACCAGTTGGGTAGGCGGGGCTCGATGGTCATGTGACTGGGTGGGCATGGCCAACTCAATGTTACTCATGTCGATGGGCGCTTCACTTTAGCTATAACAATGTAATAAGGGTTAACCGGAGAGGCAGTTTCTGTAAGCAGGGCAATAAAGATTAGGCTAGAAACAACACCAGAATGTTTCCTTCCTGCCTTCATTACAGGATTAACCCTGTAAAGTGGGGAAAAAACAAAATAAGATTTCTTCCAATAACCGGTTCTCCGAACTGCTTAGAAAGTTAACAACCGGTTCTCCCAAATAGGAGCAAACCAGCTGAATCCCACTGGGTATTTCTCTCTGTTGCTAAGTCATGACCAGAAAATAAAACTACATTATTTTCCACATAATATAAACCTTAGAGTTAATTCAGGCCACTAGTTAAATTAGGCTAATTAATATACTCACATCGGAAAGTTTCTCTGTTCATCTTCACACCTTATGAACAAAGGATTCTCAGGAATAAAGCAGCCACTGAAGAAAACATTAATAGATGCATTGTATTTAACCTGTTTCTGTTTTTAGCATATCCACAATTCCCCCTACATGCTCCTTATTTAGTGACTGCTTCATTTAGTGACCATTCAGTTACAACAGTGATGATGAAGTAACTTTACAACCAATCCATGCATTTATGACCTTCACAGATCTGTAAAGCATGGGAAAGCTGAAGTATTTTTCAGCTTATTAATAATACTCTACAAGTTAACATTAAAGATAAATCCTAACAAGCAGCAATGAAATATACATTCTATATTGTCCACATTTTGAATCACACTTTGGTTGACTCAAGCTTTTGAGGAAAAATTCATTTATCCATGTAGAAAACAAAGTATGTTTTTTTTCTAGGAATGATCATTGGAATTGTTAACAAATACCTCACCTAGTCCCATAATTTAACATCCAACTGGTTAACTGAAAAATATTATTCGATGAGAATGCCATATCATCCACTCCGCCAAGGAAATAGTCATAGAACTTGTCCACTAGAAATGGAGACTTATTGGCATAGATGGGGTAAAGCTGTGAAGAATAAGATGCAATTTAATTAGTAAGTTGGCTATTTCAACATTCAATTCCAACGAATTTCTTTTTTAGAAAAATATATTTACCTTGGCAGCAGCGATGATCTCGGCATAGCTATGGAAGCAAGTATTTATAATTTACTATCATTATAGAACTTTTCAATGCATAAAAAAAATGCTGCTTGAAGACCAAATTTTGTATATTGCCTTTAACAATACTAAAAAGACACAATGGATATTTTGAAACTCATAGAATTCACATATCATTTAAATGACTGCTGGTAACATTTTTTATTAGGAACATAATGAACCAATTCCAATTAAAGTGTTCTGAATGAAGTACAGATCATTGTGAGATAAATTACAAGTTTCAAATCTTATTTTTCCTGCCCCCTTTCTTCTCCTTCTTTTCCTTTCCTTGTTCTGATTAGCCACAATTTAGTACAGTGTTATGCCTATACACTGAAAAAGCATAGTAAACATTAATTATAGTTTATTGAAGTTAGTGCATTATAAATGTTTAGTATGAAAGCAATGATTCTAGCAAATGTTGGAATACGTTATCATCCTGACATTGATTTCAAAGTTACACTGTGAATGTCTCTTAAAATGAAGATATTTATATAAACATAATCTGCCCTATTTAACAGGATCAATACACATGGCAACTTTAAAGAAGTACAGTGTATGGTGGCTATCATATACAATATATATATATTGTATGTATATTGTTTGTTTTGACTTCGGCCAATAATCATAGTTGTCTGGTTATGACTATTTTAAAGATTAAATAACCAGCAAAAATATTGAAACATTAAAAGCAATAAAATACCTTAATAAGTAGCCAAAGAAATAAATAATAAAAAGATACAATAGCCATTGTCCTAAGATAATGTATGTTCTTAAAATGAAACAAAAAATCAAATCAAACTATAAATTGAAAAGATTAGGATTGATGTGTATATTGAGATAGATCACTGTATTTTACTACAAAAGACATTCCTCTTTTGCTTCTAGCCACTTTACTTTATATGTATATTTTTTATTTCAACACCATTAATCCCCAACTTTTGACCATTTATTTAATGAAAATATAATGACGTTGAAAAGTCCTCAAAGTTATGGCTTCGTCGACTCTCATGGTCACAGGATCACAATTTGGGTGCTTGCCAACCAGCTCACACTTACAATGCTTGCAGTGTCCCGGGTTCATGTGATTGTGATTTGCAACCATCTGGCTTCCAATAAGCAAAGACAATGGAGGATGTTGGATTCGACTGATTGCCTGATTGACTTAATAACTGCATGTTTCACTTAACAATTGCAGTAAACACGATCATAAAACAGAGTCTGGTCATGTGACAACTCGCTTAATGACCACATAGTGTAGCAAAATTCTAGTCCCCATTGTGGTTATTAAACTGAAGACTCCTGTACATCCTTTATAGCCCTACTTAAGCTCTTAGATGTATTTTATCAGATAAATAATCATCCTACTAGTCCATTTCCCAAAATATAAAAATATCCCCTCAATAAAGCTTCCCTTTTTTTACACCTGATCTTGTCCAACTTTCACTATATACCAGACAACCCATCACTAATTAACAAACTCTCCTCATTTGTTTTAAAGCATGTTAACTTTGACTTTGACTTACAGATCAAGAAGTTGCAGATATGTGCACTCAACAATAGCATTTTCAGTTATCACCTCCTTTCCATAATAATCCTCATAGATTGACAGTAAATCTTTAACCGGTACATACCTAAAAGTATTAATATCAGAATTTTGATTGAGGCCAACAAAATGCACTGACATAATAAATTATCTAAAGCAATTCTTTCTTTCCTCTTCGAGAAAAATATTGGAAATATTATAGAAATGGAACACTAATCAAACACTACATCAGTAATATGCAATTGGTAGCATGATGCTGCTTGCATATACTGTAGAGCACAGGTTTTGTATTCCAAAAATTTTTTAAGTTCAATTCTTTTTAATTCTCTAGGAATTTAAGCTTCTGGAGGAATAGAAATCTACCTAACAAATATAAATGAAAAAGAACTAATATAGGCAATACCCTGCTATATAATACAATATTCAGAGTTACAGTATACCAGGAACTTAAACTGCACATCACAATGCCCAATTTATTAGCCTTGTTTTCTCTTAGTATGATCTGATCTTAGACCATCCAAATTCTTCCCCTTCTCTCCATTTTTTTAAAAAATAGAAACATTTAGCAACCTATGATTACAGCTTCAAAGATTAATAAAAGTAAAACTGGATCAAAATAAGCAATTGGCAAATAGTGTAAGATTTCTCAGAAATATAAGTTTCATATGTTCTGTGAACCTGACCATGGTTAATAACCTAGTTGCCACGATTTGAACCAAATGGATCTTTGTAAAAGTAATCAGAGCAGAATGTAATCAAGGTATGGATACCATTACCAGAAATGAGGGTTGTATTAAGTGAACCCTGAATATTAGATTAGATTAGATTAGATTAGATTAGATTAGAAGGTTTATTTATATGCCGCCCTTTTCCCTGGGGGGACTCAGGGCGGCTCATAATCCAAAGGAAGGGGGGGAAAACAGACTTTTACATATAAGACAATACATGATTAAAACACAACATTCATACCATTCGGGCGGGTTACAATCTTTAGCCCCAGGCCTGACGGGATAGCCAGATTCTAAGGGCTGTGCGGAAGGTCTGGAGGGTGGTGAGGGTACGAATCTCCATGGGGAGATCGTTCCTTTGGGTCGGAGCTACCACCGAGAAGGCTCTCCTCCTTAGATGCTAATATGATCCATCTAGCATTATATAAGGCTGTAGACTATGTTCTACTAAACTGAACAAGTTACCCTTGATCTCCTTCATCCAATACAATTTTAGACCCTAGTTCACAATGGTTCTTGAGCACCTGACTGGCTGAGAAGAAAAAAATAATAGACTTCAGTAACCGTTTCTCATTGTCTCTCTGCAATTTGCAACACTATATGAGTGCATGTATCAATGTCCATATGCATCAAACACCAACAATTGCATTTGTGGGCTCTTACCAGCTTGCTTTCAAATAATCAAAATCGAGTTCATATTGGCTTAACACATCTCCCCCTAAAATCAGAATGAAATGAGTGTATGTCATCAATTTATTGAATAAAAACAAAATATTTCATTTTGAAACTTTATGAATATAATCCCTTATATATCATATGATTTAACCTAACACAATCTTCAAAAGACAACCATTCATATCTGAATGCAGCCCAGGTATGACATATTGTAAGCATTGCAGTAATATTGGATATGTCACATGGGCTTTTCATATAAGATTGACAGCCCTTCTATGTGGGTTGGCGTTTTCTCTCTCTCTTATAGATAGCAACACATGTTTTATAGCCATAATGGAACAGTATCAAAGGAATTGGAATACCAATGATAGTCTTTGAAATGTCAGCCCTTGTGCAACAAGGATCAAATGGCTCGTGAAACTCAAAATAAGTTTCAGAAAAACCTTATGATACATCATGGGAATCTACAATTTTAGAAAATCTCACAAAGACCTACGAATAAAGTTCCATCTTAATGTAAAGTGGAATCTATAATTTATAGTTTCCTTAGAATATATCCAATGGGAATATATCAGAGATTGAAAACAGCAGCTGATATATATTGAATACCAATTTGTTCTAGGGACAGGGAAAACCAAAATGGAGAAGATCTATGGTATATGAGTACCGTAACAACACTCACATACATAAACATAAACTTTTCAAAAACAATTATAGAATGCCATCTCCGGAATCTAATAACCTTGAGACATTGAAAGGAAATTTAGGGAGAGTTTTCTAGGATTTATAAGTACATAAATTACCAAAATCACCAGTAGAATGAGCTTGTGAATATGAGCCATGAAAATCAATCTAAATAAAAAAGGAACAATATTATTTATAATTCATTATCTCTTTAACAAGAAATGTTAAGTGCTTTTTAAAAAAAATATTTCTTTTTGAAACTAGTCCAATTTGTAGAGATAAAACAGTCCCTTGTGGCTTTTTCCCTGCCTGTGTATATAGGAATTCCCTGCCAGTACTAATTTGTTATCAATTGATTGCAAAAATCCCTTCTGCTTCTTGTTTCTCTTCTACCTATTTTCAGAACTTGCCCAGGTGCTTTAATTCAGCCCCAACATATAAACAGCTTTGCAGTTAGCAGTTTTCATCCATAAAAAGCTAAAAAAGAAACCCAACAGGCAAATATTTTTGCTATAAGCTGTATAAACACTTTAAAAGAGCAACATATGGATATTCAATGATGTGGTTGAAATATTAGTCACTTTGTTGTGGTTTATAAAAGCTTTGCAGACTGTATGCATCTGGGTTATGTTTTAATATTCTATTGGCATTTGTGAGGATGAAGCAAAATAATCAACACAGTTGTAAACTAAGCACGTGGAAAAACCCTATGCCTAGAAACAGAACACTACTTACAGCTGCCATGGCCCGTAGAAATCCTTGTTCAATCCCCAAGCTGTGCCAGCTTACATCTGCCACCATGTGAGAGGCAATCCCAAAGAGAAAAGCCACCAGCTTCTCTGTAGCCTATGTACCATTTTTTTTTTAAAAAAAGGTAACTCAATAATAACATCATTAAAACCAAGTAGATAAAAGACAGACAATATGTGACTCCTGTGAGCCAATCTATTTGGTGATGAAAATTGATTGCAATTTTACAAACACAAATATGAATTAGGTAGCTTTAGTTTTAATATTTGAAATGGTTAGACTGCATATAAAAGATGGTTCTAAAGACAAACATAAATGAGAGAAGGGAAAAGGTAGCAAATATGAGTCTATAGACTTATTTGATTTAGGAGATTTCCACCACCAAATTAGAGATGAATCAATCACTCTGGAGTGTACTAACAGTAATCGTATCTTCTCAAGTAATCATTTCTTATAAAGATAGCCCTGGGTACTTGAAAGACCGCCTGCTGCCAATTACCTCCCAAAGACCCATTAGATCACACAGGGCTGGCCTCCTCCGGGTTCCGTCTACCAGCCAATGCCATCTGGCTACCACCCGGGGGAGGGCCTTCTCTGTGGCAGCTCTGGCCCTTTGGAACGAACTCCCCGCAGAGATTTGGACCCTCACCTCTCTCCAGGCCTTCCGAAAAGCCGTTAAACCTGGCTGTGTCGGCAGGCCTGGGGTTGATGAGTTCCCCTCCCCTCTCGATTTGTGTGGCTGTTGGTTATTCTTTAAATGCTTGTATTTGTAGTTTTTGTGTTTCCCTTTCCCCCCTTGGGTTTGTGCGCCACCCTAAGTCCCGCTGGGAATAGGGCGGCATATAAATAAAACGAAACCTAAACCTAAACCTAAACCTTTATTTCAAAAAGTTGTCCTTCAGACATATTTTTCAAAAACTCACTTTCAGCCTTTATTTCGTCCTTTTAACTTTTACTGTACAAATGCTACCACTTAGCACACAGCCTTTCCCATTGTGAAAAATGTGGAAATGGAACTGTTTTTTAAAAAATAAATTTACATTTTATATTTTTTAATAACTAGATATTTTGGTAAGACTTTTCTTAGTTATGCTCTTGAAACTTGCATTTGTAAAACAAAGTTATACATATAAACAATTAAAATGTTTTATTCTTACGAACCTCTTTTAGATTTCCTCCCTTTTCAGGTTTGTCTTTCATTTTTTCCGGAAAAATATAATCACTGTAATAATATATCAGACTAGTTGAGAATCAGCAGAAGACGACTATTCTTAGCAAAGTCAGTTGTTTACCTTATTTGAATGATCCTTGAGTAGCTTATATTGACTGCTGCATTTTCAACTACATTTTTTTCCCCAGCAAAGTAGTTTTTCTACCACAAGTCAGATGGAAGGAGAGCAGAATCTAAAGCTCTGTTTTTAGCTAATTAAAACAGCTGTCTAATTGATCACCAATTTTCTTACCTTCTATTTTTAGGGGTAAAGGTGAGTGAGAAATATAGTTTTTGAAAAGAGTATTCAGGGCTTCACAGGGAACAACAGACAGAAACTGTTATTACCTCTTCCCATGGCTGCGGATAGTTCTTTCTGATGTAATGGATACTTGTGTTGAGAAAAGGTGACCAGTGGGTATCTTCAGAAACAGAATGGAACAACCCTGACAATTCGGAGGACAAAGTTTTTTTTTTAAAAAAAAACACTCATATTTATTCTACATGTTGCATTTTAGTCATACAGAATGTTAACATTCAGTAACATTTTAATGGCGAAGTATTACATGAAAGTATTTTAATGTATACAGCAAAACATGTAATAAATCCCAATAATGTGAATAATAAAAAAAATAGCAATAGCAATAGCTAGACTTATATACCGCTTCATAGGGCTTTCAGCCCTCTCTAAGCGGTTTACAGAGTCAGCATATCGCCCCCAACAACAATCCGGGTCCTCATTTCACCCACCTCGGAAGGATGGAAGGCTGAGTCGACCCTGAGCCAGTGAGATTAGAACCGCTGAACTGCAGATAACAGTCAGCTGAAGTGGCCTGCAGTACTGCACCCTAACCACTGCGCCACCTCGGCTCTTCCAAGATCCCATACCAAGTTCAAAAACATTCCCAGAAGAATGCAGTGAGAAGCACATTCTACACTACATTGGTACATCCACAAAATCACAGAACTCAACCTTGATTTAAAATAGACTCTACTTTATCTGTTCACTGCGTGTGCCCTGATTTTAATATGATATGCACTAATAAAAGTTTCAAAAAACTGCAGTTTATTGTTAGATTTGAAGATGGGCTATTTAGAATGATTTACCCATATACTGTAAGCCAAAATCATAAAGTAAAATCATAGTTAATGAAGAAGAGGAATTAAGTCTAAAGAAGACAGGTTCTCCTACGTGATTGTAATGCATCAAGAACTTATTCGCACTTATTGATGTATTCCAGACAACTTCATTAATAAATGGACTGGCCTACTTTGGCAATAATGTGATCATATTAAAAAATAACTTGACCTAGGATCTCCTACCGCTTTGGCAGATGACAGGATAAAAAGCATCAGGATATACAGTTCCTGCTTGATATGCATCTTGGTGAGCTAGTATTAACTGCACGACATAAACAAACAAATAAGCATTAAACAGATATTATTATAATGCTTAAAATTCCATGTCTATTTTAACAAAATCAGAATCATTCCCCTGAAACATTACAGAAGGCATGAGAGAGATAAGTCACTCCACATGATTTGTCTTTAGTATCAAATTATTAGAAAGTTGTTCTAAATAGGCATCTGCCTTGGCTAATACTCTTTAGCAGGAATTTCTGCAGTAAGGTAACAATTCATCTTAAATCCAGATGTGCACTTTTTTTCAGTATAATGCCTTTTAACATGCTTACAGAAAATTCTGAGAGCTGTCCTCAAAATACCATCCAGACTCGGAAGTTGGTTCCCTAACTATCCCTCCTCATATTATTCAATAACAATATACTTTATAGATATTTGTCCTACATTTCCACGCATTTAATCAGAAGCTTATTGAATCTATCAACTTTTAGGAAACTATTATGCTGGTCAGTGAAAGAGCTTCCTACATATCAGTGGTGGGTTTCAAAAAAATTTCGAACCTNCGAAACATCTTCAAGGAAAAACAAAAAAAAGTTGCCTTTAAAAAACACCTTTGGGACAACCATGACCTGGATGAGTGAGAATCTCCATAGACATTCTTAGCAGAAGGTAAGCCAGAGTTGCTGATTTGTTGTTCAGAAATGCAATCTATGCACCGTCGAAGTCTAAAAATAAATGAGATAAAATTATGTACCAGTAATGATCTCTCCAGCATGATGCCCGACCCTGAGGAATCCAAAGACAATTTTTGATTGATAGGCACAATCTACACAAGCTTGGACAGCCTGCTGAAGTACTACATTCACAGGACCTGGTCCAAAGTGATCAGGAAGCTGCTGAATTTTCTTTTTATCAAGATGAGGCCCAGAATTTCCGTGCTTGTTAACATAGACACAAACTAAAAAACAGAACAAAACACAATGTAGAATTCATCTTTATCTACCTTCTTAAAAGCATCCCAGTGACATAAAATTTAAGTTCTGACAAATGAACAAATAAAACTCATCTTTCTCCTGTGCACTGCTTGGAGAGTCCAAGCATGGGTTAAATACAGTATCTGCCCTAGGACTGAGTAGATTTTTCTTTAACCATGCCTCCTTTGCCTCATTGAGACCAGTTTAAAAACTCAAGTCTGCCCGTTAGGACTAATTTTGGGGAGCTCCTCAGTTATAAGTCAGATAGATTGGACTCTCCAAATTGTGCAGAAAAGTATCTCCTTTTTTATTTTTGTATAGATTCCTTGTTTATGTAGTTATAGATAGGCAAAGGTTTAAAAGGAAAAAAAGTTACTTTTGAATTTGCTGAGGAGGCTACTGGGTTTCCAGAGAGCTGCTGGTCGCACACAGCGTGAGGAACGGTGGAGTTGCTTGTCTGGCGGCTGCCGGTGAGCAAGGTGTGCTGGGAGGCTTCCAGTCCGTTTCCCCAGCCGCTGCTGTTAATAGAGCCACCTGGAGCGCTTTGAAGGCTCAGGCGGTGTCAGCTATTTCTCCTCAACCCGGAAAGCGCAGCGGCCATTTTAAAGTGTTTCACATGCTTTTTGTTGGCTGCTGTCACCTTGAACTCGGAGAGTGGCGGCGTGTGGCGGCGACCATTTTAGAGTGACTTTTTTGATCAGATCATCGTTTGGAGCTGTTTGAAGACCCATGAGTTTGCACTCAAGACCCTCAGCTGCAGATCGCCGCCGGGGAGCGTTTGGCCTTGTCCGGGGCACCGGCAAGGTCTGCCTCTCTGCAACGAACACTCAAGGACTTTGAGGGCAGCCTGAGGAGGTTTTTGGCCAATGGGCCTTCCTCCTCAGATATTGATCTGCAGGTGATCCGTAGCCAGTTGGCTCGCGCCTGGTGCCTGCAATCCCATCTCTGCATCAAGAAACAACTTCAAGGCATCTGTAGATCACCATGGCAGATGGAGGTTTGGAGGCGCAGAAGGTGCTGGCAGGGCCCTCTTCAAAACGCAATAGGCCAGATCCTCCACCCAAAGGGGGGAAGGGAGGAAAGGACACCACAAGGAAGGCCTCCCCGGGACTCTCAGGGAACAAAGGCAAACTCAGGGAGGGAACCCAGAAGCATAAGGCTGTGGAACACAGAGTTACCAGGCCCAGAGGCAGAGCAAATCCCTTGAACAGATGGACTCATTGCCATGCTCACCCTCTGGCCAGATAGAGGAGAGGGAACCTGGTTCGTCTCAGGGGAACAGCTCTCCCACATTCATTGAGGAGGAGTCGTGGGATTCCACTCCCGATGCCTCCTGGGGCTATCCTGAATCGCCCAGTTCATCATTCAGGGAGGAACTGGAACCCTTTCAGGGCATCCTCCCAGCGAAGGAGGGAGCTGGTTTGGTTAGGAACAGGGGCCAGCTCGCTCCATCTAGGGCTCAACCTGTGGAGGATAAAGGCCCAGCCCTGTCTGCAGAGATGAAGGAAGTGATTGCCCAAGCCATCTCCCAGGGGATTCGGCAGAAGGATGCCTGCGCTGCAGGAACATCTAAATCATGACCACCCCCAGTTCAGGTCAGGGACCAGGCCCCAGCCTCTCCTGGCACCTCAGTTGCCACAGAGGAATCGGTCTGGGAGAAGGAGGAGGCCGAGGAATTCGAATTATCAGAGGATGAAGACCTTCCTCCCGATAAGCCTGCCAACCATCCTTATTTAAGGCCATTTTACATAAGGCCAAAGCCTCCACCGAGATAGGGTCTACTCCTAAGGGTACGACCATACCATCCTCCTCTAAGGACCCCAAAGAGGGTCTTTTCAAGGAGAATGCCCCAACTCAGGAACTGATTCCGGTTCCAGACTTATTCATGGATGACAGCCCGGTACTCTAACCAATCCCAGCGGTGGGGATAAAAATCTGTATTCTGTAGCGACTAGGATGGAGGATATTTTGAAGTTGCCCGAGGTGGATGCCCCGGGGGGTGAAGGGCTATCTTGGACTTGAAGCGCCTAAATCAGCATCTGGCCTACAAGCACTTCAAGATGCAGTCCCTCCAGTCCATCCTGGACTGCATAAGGCAGGGGGATCTACTCACCTCCATAGACTTAAAAGAAGCTTACCTGCACGTTCCCATTCATGCGTCGCACAGGAGGTTCCTGCAGTTCCACTACAACAGGAGGAATTGCCAGTATAGGGCTCTGCCCTTCGGCCTCTCATCCGCACCCAGGACCTTCACAAAACGTCTGGCTGCAGTGGCAGCTCACCTCCAGTCCCGTCCAATTCAACTGGAATGCTATCTGGACAACATCATCATTCAGTCCTCGAACCACGACTAAGCTCTGCGGGACATTCAAGTGACCATACGAACACCCTGCAACAGCACAGCTTTTCAGTGAACCAGAAGAAGAGCCATCTTCAGCTGAGCACACGAATTCAGCACTTAGGCACCATCATAGATTTGGTTTCTTGTCAGGTGTTTCTATCTCCAGACCGTCTGCACAATCTCAGGAGCAGAGTTCGTCAATGCCAGCAGCTCAGGTCAGTGCCGATCATCAAACTCTCACAACCTCTTGGCATCATGATATCCTGCCTAAAGGTAGTTCCCTGGGTGCCAGGGTCTTCATGCCAGGGAACTACAGTGATTCCTTCTGCCAATGCAGAGGTCAAAGGACAGCAACTCTCCAAGACAAGTTCGTCCGCCACAGAAGGTGATCCACTCCCTCAGTTGGTGGCAGTCGACAGCAGTAGAGAAGGGGTGCCAGTTCAAGGAGCCGAAAAGAGTCATGGTAACCTCAGATGCCAGCCTCTACAGATGGGAGGCACATTGTCAAGGACAGCTGATGCAGGGCAGATGGATGCAAAGGGAGGCAGCTCAAAACATAAATTGGCTGGAGCTGAGAGCTGCCTGGCTTGCCCTATGCTGTTTTTCAGCACAGATTGTGGACTGCCATGTACTGTTATTAACAGACAACACAGCAACAAAGGCCCACATAAACCAGCAGGGCAGCACCCACTCCAGGAGACTCATGACAGAAGCGGAGTCTCTGGGCAGGTGGGCGGAACGCCACCTAGCATCCATCATAGCAGATCATATATCTGGGACAAACAATGTGAAGGCAGACTGGCTGAGCCAGCAGATAATCAACAACTCTGAGTGGCGTCTGAATCCAGATCTGTTCCAACAGATAGTTCGGAGATTCGGCCAACAGCAAGTAGACTTATTTGCTACTCACGCCAACACACACCTGCCATGGTTCTTTCCCGTTACCACTTGTCCCAGGTGGGGACGGATGCGCTGAGGTGCAAGTGGCCCTCAGGACTCCTCTACACATTTCCTCCACTCCCACTTATTCCACAGGTAGTAGCCAAACTCCTAGCGGAGATCCTCCTTGTGGCCCCACATTGGCCCAGGAGGTCCTGGTACATGGACCTTGTCAGCGTCTCCATCCAGAGACCGTGGAGGATTTCTCAGGAGCAGATCTCCCTCAGCCAGAAGGCCATCTGCCATCCGGACCCCCAGTGACTCTAATTAGCCATCTGGAGCTTGAGGGGGAGCTCCTGAGGAAGCAGAATCTTATTAACAAGGTCATCAAGACTATTCAAGAGTCCAGAAGGCCATCCACTACANTTCTTTTATGTCTCACTTTTTCTTTCTTTTTTTCTTTCTTTCTTCCTTTCTTTCTCTTTCTCTCTCTGTGTGAGTCTGTCTGTCTGTCTGTGTGTGTGTGTGTGTGTGTGTGTGTGTGTGTGTGTGTCAGTTGTGGGTTTCAAAAAATTTTGGAACCTCTTCTGTAGGTGTGGCCTGCTTTCTGGGTCCACTGGTGGAACCTCTTCTAACCGGTTCAGTAGATTTGACGAACCGGTTCTACCGGACTGGTGTGAACTGGTAGGAACCCACCTCTGCTACATATCTACAAATAGTTAATAGCCTACATATCTAGCTAAGTAAGATGAAAAAATAAAACACTGTACTCATTTTATTGAAATTATTATTTATTTTTCCTCCCACCCAACAAAGTGACTACAATTAAAAACTATCCCATATTTATGTGTGGTGTTTTCTTGGCTGATTCAAGCCAATGGGGTTGGTGTGCTTCAGTTCTTTCAATTGAATAGCCTCAACTTTTGAGACCCAGACTTTCTCCATCACAGTCTCTGTCCACTGAAATAAAGTTCAGCCTGAAATCTGATTGGCTCTAACTCTGATAACATTTTAGACAGTCTTGAAAACCTGGCTTTTCTTCCAGACCTTGGATTAGGATGGCTGGAGCCCCTTTTAAATTCCATCTTGGCTACCTTCAGCATCTTGTTCTTCATCTGCTTTTCTAACTGGTTTTTCCTAATTGTTTTTGGATTGTATTCTATTTTGTTTGTTAGGCAGGCAGTCCCCGACTTACAACCATTCATTTACTGACCATTCAAAGTTACAACGGTACGGAAAGAAGTGAGTTATGACCATTTTTCACACTTATGACTGTTTTGGCATCCACATGGTCATGTGATCAAAATTCATACGCTTGGCAACTGATTCACATTTGTGGTGGTTGCAGAGTTCTGAGATCATGGGATCATCTTCAGACAAAGCAAAGTCACTGGGGAAGCCAGATGCACTTAACAACTGTAATACCACCATAACCACTGCAGTAATTCACTTAACAACTATGGCAAGTAAGATGGAGCAAAATTCACTTAACAACTGTCTCACTTAGCAACTGAAATTTTGAGCTCAATTGTGACCATAAGTTGAGGGCTACCTGTATTGTGTACCACCAGTAGTCATTTGAAGTTGAGTGGAAATTTGACTTAACTTAACTTAACCTAACCTAACCTAACCTAACCTAATTTAATTTAATCTATAGCGCTATCTATAAGCCTGGCAGTATTATGGTACTGATTCATGTTACAATAATAAACCCTCTACCTTACGATAGTCAACTTGTCCATCTTGCTGGCTGAAAAATTCCAGCCCTCTATGAGCTGGAAAAAAAAAGATCATAATACATTTAGTGATGTATATTTGTAATAGGATCGAGAAACTGTAGAGAAGAATCTGTTGCAACTTTTCAACCAATAAATATCCACAGTTTATATAGGTACTCATACATGCTTTCCAAAATGCTGGGCCTTTCCTCACAGTTCAGTGAAAATGTTACTCTCTGTCCTTCAGCCAATACAAATTATTTTCTTCTTTTAACCACCCTGTAATCCCTTGCATCAGGTTGGAGTTGGGTGACTGAACGTAGCACAAGTATTTACTGGCTGGATGCCCTTCCTAATGCCTACACGGAGTTTGCAGCAGACAATTACTGCGCCCAGAGAGTAATATCTGCCTCTATTTAGGATTGAACTCACAGCCTCCTGATTGTCAAGCAAGAGCTCCTCATCTAGGCCATCACACCACTCTCAGCCAACAAAAATTATACCAGTATAAAATGTTCTGTCCCCATTACAGATCCCCAAGTGGCTTCCTGGTCCTCTGTTTTGGCTTGTTGTCAAATTGTATGTATCTTGATTTCATTGTATCTTGATTTCATGTGTGCAGGGCAGGTTAATCAAAACATTTACTATTGTTTCTGATTTTGCTGCTTTTTCTCAATTACATCAACCATCAGGATTCTATCTACCAATCATGAATACAGTCAGCTATCAAAAATTCTCGAGGTGGATAGTCCAAGGCAGTGGCCTCTAAAATAGAAAAGGCTCTACTGTCAACCCAGATGATCATCCTGCTGGACAGGCTTCTTTGAATACTGTGTTTAGGCTAAGGCAGAACAGGCCCCTCTCAAATCATGGATCGACTGCTTTCAAGTGGGCCTGTTTTGACAGCTCTAAACTTAGGATCCAAATAACACTTCCCACCATCTGATCAAAAAATCTCGGTAAGGAAAAACCCCACCACTCACAGACATATTAGCTGACCAATGGCCTTGTTTTGACGATGGATATCCAAAGAATTGTGTCAAAAATAGCAAACCAAGCAGTTAATCATAATGGCAGCCTAGCAAAGCAGAACTGTTTCTGCTTCTCCAATGCTTTTCCAAAGGATTCTAAATATGTAGTCAAACAGTACATGGTTTAATTTTTAGAACGTTATTTTCTCCAATTCTTTGTCTCCTATTCTACTATTATTTCAATTACTTAGCTACTCCTGCTAACAGCTTACCTATTTCAATATGTGTTGACAGACCACAGGGCATAATTCTTTCACAAAAATTGCAAAGTACAGCCAGAACCAACCAAATCCTTAAGGCTTCCATGCCACAGATAATCTCTTGTCTATGCCACAATTTTGAAGATGAGTTCAATAGGATTGCAACCTTTGAAATATGAAAGTAGAATACATTTCTAAATCAAGTAGGACAATGGTACTGATGCAAAGGCCTCATGCTTGAAATTCATTTCCCCATTTCTATAAACTAATAAAATATTTTATTTTACAGACAGAATTAGACCAAAAGAAACCTAAATTTCCTTACGCATTGGTAATGAGTCAAATCATGCCTAAAATTAAGGAGGTGAACTTTTATTAAAGAGAACGCTTAGGCCAATCTAATTCTTGATTTTTTAGCCAATCAAGAGTTATCTCCAGATGGATAGCTCCTCTGCTTCAATTAAAAGTCATTGCTTAATGGAGTTTCTGTCATATAAAATAAAGACGCCAGGAACAAATATAACAGATTACAAATGCAAGATCTTATCGGCCTTAAAATTAGTAGTTGTGTGTTTACATAATGAAATGTTCATCTGGCAGCCTCCCTTGCCAAATATGGTATCTGTACAAAAAATATATATCATCAAACAATATGCATCTTTTTGAAAAAAGCAAAGTTGAAATGAGTCTATTTATCTTCCATTTTTCCACTAATGATGCAGTGCTTATTTTACTCACTATGAAATTAACTGCCAATGAACAAGAGCTGTGCAAGATAGCAGTTTATATACATATCTTGATTCATGGGTTTATAAAGAGCTGCTAATGAAATTCTGAAGTAAATGCGGCAATTCATATTAAACAGCAATCCTTTCAAAGTGCTAGAAAAGTTTGGAAAATACTGAAGGAGAGAATCTCAGCAAGTCCCTCACTTGGCCCTACCTTCACCTCCGCACCTTGGGTTTTCTCTGCTACGTGTGGGATGGAATTTGGACCCACAATATTATATACTTTTTATCAGCAGCTGCCTCTGCCCATTTATTTTGCCCATTTAAAATATGTCTACAACTTTCGTCATGTAATGCCAGAATTGTTGGTAACATAGTACATAAGCACAATAATTTATTTAAAGAACAAATAACGGTACAACAAGTATTCAATAGGCATGATTAAAAGCAGCAATAAACTTTTCAGCGACAAGTACAATGCTAAAGCCAGAGTAAGAGGTTATATAAATGGAAACGCCTGGATGTCAGATTCATTTTAACGGGAGGTTGAAAAGATTATAAAGTAAGCATTACTTGCTGTATTCCTTTGAGGAAGAAAATGTTCCCAAACTAAGGTTCTCCCAGAGTGAAGTTCTTTTCTTTAAAATAGCACTTCCTGCATGGGAGGGATTTGGAACAATGCCATTTTGGAAGGTCTTAAATCATGGCTTGGCATGACAAGTTGGTTCCAAAGTTGTTCTAAAGAGATAGGAATGAAAGGGGAAAAAAGCACCTTAAACTGAGTGAAAAGGCAAAATAAGGCAACAGTGCAGTTCTTCTCATTGGAATTCTTTTAATATTTGAATGAATTGTATTCAACATCCTGCACAGAATTTCTAAGTCAACTTTGTGGCAATGATGAGAGCATGGATGACCAGAGCCAGATCGTTTTTGTTGTGAAATAACTATGACTAATATTATCCCTGCCACTAAGACCATTTGAAGCTTTGGTTTATTGGCTCTTATCCAGATCATTACCAAATCTAGATACCACTTCAGTATCTGCAGGTAGTCTGTGCTGACCCAGAGAAATAGTGTTACATGCCAAGACCAAATGATTGATACAACAATTCCAAATTCTTGAAATGTCCCCATTCAGAAGCTTTGTATAAATGTTAAAGAGCATAAGAAATATAATAGACCCTGTCATACTGTTTCTTCCTCCCTGACCACTTAAGCTAATGTGGATAATGGAAATGCAACTGCTTCACCCATTCATCATTCCTCTTTGTAGATTCATATACCAACGTACTCAAGGTTAATCCATCTTTTGCCCAATACATTTAATCATATACTGGATTTGCACACCAGTGTCTTTTGGAGGGGGAGCACTCAGCAGAGAGAAGTTAAGTCAAGTTCCCTCCTCATTGTAGAGTCATGATTCAATGTCATGATCCAATGTGGCAAATGAGTGGTCAGAAGGAAATGCTGGATCCAATTCTCCAATGGCAACAGAAAATGACAATTTATAATGATGAAGATGTCAGCGTTCCAAATACCACGTAGAATTAAATCAGAGTCGAAGGCAGAACTATGATTAAAGTTCCAATTTAATAAAGCAGGCATGTTGGCATAGTGCTGTGGTGATTCCAACTCTGGAAGTTACATCAGAATCCCACCCAGTTAAAAGTTCATGATCTTGTCCCCACACCCACAGTCCATCACATGGTCCAATCTCCTTCTTCCATGCTAGCGTCCATGCCCAGCTTCTTCCGGTCAGGTGTACTGGTGCGGAGAACAAAGGATGACCTTGCACATATACTAAAATTGGAACGATACAGAGAAGATTAGCATGGCCCCTGCGCAGGGATGACATGCAAATTCGTGAAGGGTTCCATATTTTTGAATCAACCAATAACCTCGGGGGAAATCCTCCAGGTAGTTAAACAGCTAAAGGCAGGGAAAGCAGCGGATACAGATGGTTTGACAGCGGCTTATTACAAAAACTGATAATTAGAAATGGTAGAACCCCTTAAGGAATTATTTAATAAAATCCAAATGGAAGGGAAGGTACCCCCATTTTGGAAGATAGCTTTCATATCCCTGATACCTAAAGAAGATCAAGATCTTAGTCAACCAAAAAATTACAGACCTATATCATTACTTAACATAGATTATAAAAATTTTCCAAAAATATTAGTGAATAGGTTAATGTTGGTTATTCAACAATTGATTCATAATGATCAAACCGGTTTTATGCAAGGGAGACAAATGAGAAGTAATGTTAGACAA